TATTTATTCACAGCAAAAATTATCAATAATAATGGACTATGGTTGATATGATAAATCTTCAGATCACATCTCTTTGTACTAATAATTATTTTTGTCAAACCTCAGAAGAACTCAAACCCTTGTGAACTATCAGTAATATAATAATAAAAAATAAAACCATAAGAAAAGATGTTTTATTAATCACTGAAAATAATTAGTTTTGCTGCTCTGGGAGATAAAGCTACAATATCTGTTCCTAAAGGGTTAATGTTCAGGGGTGGGAGGGGCTAGTTGAGTGAGTGGAGAGAGAGGAGCCACGCTGCCTGTGGCTGCTGGGACAGAGAGAAGACAGAGGAGTGTTTTTCTGTGGGTTCAGCGAGTTGAAGCTGCCCCGTCCGCTTGTTTTTCTAACTGTTGAACTCTACAGAGTTTTTAGATGACTATGACTGTTTTTTTGCGTGTTGAGAGTCATTACGATAGCTTTTTAGTTTCAATACTTTAGYACATGCTCTGCAYGTCGACGTCCGCTCTGAGTAAACAAACGAAGCTACGTGGCGGGGAGGGATGTAAAGCTTGGCAGCACACGGCGGGGTTTTATCGTTTTTATAGCGAGATGACAAATAATTACCATGTTAAATGTGTTTGATGGTATATCACACACGATAACATCGCCCATCCCTACCTGACACATTTGGTCCACTCTGGTTTGCATCGGATCAAACAAATGGACTGAGACCCGCTTTTTGAGCTGGTCTTTGTCCGCTTCCAAACTAACTCTGGTGCARTTCTCTTCTGGCGTGAATACAGACCAGACTCGAACCAAACCAACTGCATAAAACATGCGCCTTTTTGGACTTAATGGTTGCTGAGCTAAATAAATTGAAAACATACCTGTTTCGTCGTCTCCTGCTTAGCAGCTCTGCTGGCAGCATGTTGTGGGTCAGAACACACAGAGCACCTCGTCTCCTTTGGGGTGGCGGCACACATTTACAGGTGCTGGTCATAAAATTAGAATATCATGAAAAAGTAGATTTATTTCAGTAATTCCATTTAAAAAGTGAAACTTG